CTATGTATCTTTTCTAAATCTAAATCTTTTCTACAGCTTTTTAAGTTGTTGAAAAAAACTGAAACTGCTGAGGCGGCAAAGAAATGTACAAAGAAATGTTATTTGGGGTTGAAGCATCATTAATTCTATTTCATTCCTCAAAAACAGAAAGGATACTTTCAAGAGGTTGCCATTGCTTTGTTTTTGTTCAAAACGCCGACTCGCTACAATTTATCACGTACATACGAGCGTTAGCCAATCAAATTGCAGAATTCGTGATACAATGCTAGTTGATTTCTACTAAAAATGAAAAGACAGCGCCAGGAGGCCAAAATAGAATCCAATTGTTTCATACAGTTGACAACCAATAACGGCGCGTGTAGCATTTGGCACTTGTTCTTCCAAGTCACAAAAGTTAACCTTCGGTTCAGCTTTTTTCCTTTTCCTCACTTTAGGTGAATACTCTCTTCTGCACTTTTTTATTTACTTTTTTATTGCGTTCTTTACTTTGTCAACAAGGAATTATGTCACATGCACTTTAACACGCTGCAGAGTATGTTTTAAAGAAAAGCAAATTTTCTGTGACTTCATTCGTGTCTGCACTTACATTAAGTACATTAGGTACGTTGTGTAAAAATATATTTGACAGTTGACATATTTTGTTTAATTTTGTGTATCTCAAAACGGCAACAAGTTAACTTATGAGTAACTGTTGTTCTGTACATACTGATACAAATTAAGAGAAAGCTCTGAATAAATCCAGTTAGTAAAATCCCTCCAACCAGGAACTCTCCATTCATTTTTCAAGGTCTCTTTGATTCTCCTTGCACAGTACTCAGTACTTAATGTTGGATCCAAGTACTCTCCCCCCTCTTTACCGCTCATACAAGTCCGAGTTTCTTCAGGGTTGGATTTGAAAAGAGACATCAAGTCAGGGGGGTCCTCCATGCTCAAGTGGGGATAAAACTGTTTCAACAATTTAAAGTTTGGATGGTTGAACTTGACTGTTGAAGGGCAGATAACAAACAGCTGTTGGAAAAGACATAAAAAGGAAAAGTCAGTCAAAAAAATGCGAGAAAGTATAGGACCTGTTGATAATGGGTAGGGATGCGGTTTGGATGCATCAGATTTACAAAAGAGGTCCCAGTTGCATTTTGGGGAGTGTCTGGCAGTGGGGGGGAGGGGGGGGGGGGCAATTCCTGATCCTGCAATACCACCCCTTTTTCATAACAAATGTCTGTCATCTCTACCCCATTCCATTTTCTTTCCCAATACCGCATCGCATCCCAAGATTTCGCATTGAGAGTGCATTTTGGAGAATCCCACTTGCCGAATACTGGTCAATTCCCACGTCCTGTCAAAACATTTCACACACTGTATTTCAACCAAATCCCAGATCACAAAAATACCCCTCTAGACCCTGTTTGGATAGTTAAACTGCATTGTTAAAGGGCAGATGACACACAGTTGATGGTAAGAAAAGACAAACAAACAAACAAAACAAAGCAGTTAAAGAAGTGCAAGGAATAACTGAATTCTTGTTTGCACGTTGCTGACAACTGTTTGTTGTTCATGTACCTATTGCATTTAGTTATATTAATGATGTGTAGAGACAGGATTTTTATTCCAACCCTGGTCTTCCCCCTCCCATTCCACTCGGATTTTCCATTTTTCCTTCAAATCCTTCTGAATAACCAACAGGGTTCGCAAATATGCCCAGTTTAGCTCTGATTTGACGCCAAACTATTTCAAATGACTCTGCTTCTGTTCACTGGAGCTGATTACAGCGGGAGTCTTTGCAGGTCATTATAACCCCAGAAATTCTGGAATGGAATAATAATAATAATAATAATAATAATAATAATAATAATAATAAAGTTTCTTTGTTAAAGCTGTTCAACAGATACAGTACCCCAAAATGGTACAAAAGATTAAAATGAGAATAGCTTGTGGTGAACGTGTGTACCCTTGGAAGATAGTACGGTCAAGGGCACAATCAAGAGCTTTTTCATTTAGCTATCATGAATTTGAGCCTTCAGGGTCAGCACCCGCTCCCAATCACTCAAACTTCAAAAGTTAAAATGGCATCCTTCAGGTGAAAAGACCATGTTTCACATTGAATACACAAAATAATTTATGAAGCCGCTTTGATGAGAGATAAAGAGACCTTAAGCAACAACTGGAGGTGGCACAGAGGAGGCCAACCAGAAGGAAAATTTCACATCTTTGAGCTAATTAACATATTTGCTTGACGTTCAGCCCGCATCGACCTCAGTTAGCATCGGGCAAAAAAGGATGGTTTGATTGCCTCGACAGATGGCAGCTTATCCTTCAAGTTTTGCTATTTTAAATGCAAAGAATTTTCCTCATTTAGTCTGACAAACAAGTATTTACTAGCCATCGCTCTTGCATTTCAATGGCAAATATTTGACTAATTTTTACTTTACAACTGTAAACAGCTGTATAAATTAACGTGTACATGTAGTGGTAGCTGAAGCGGGAGATTGAGAGACAAGTAAACAAAGTGGGTGAGTTAAATTTTACGTTTTCCCTGAATCGAAACCGACTTACAGTAAATGACTCTTGTGTGTAGAAATATATTGTGAAAATGCTATTTGTAAGTCTTTGTAGCATCCATCTCGTTAAGGTTGACTCAGACATAATCATCGTAAGGAAAATCATTGATCAAGATTTTTAGAGGTGTTCAAATCATAGAGTAAAAGAAATTCATGCTCAACCTCATCTGTGATATCTTTGAAGCTGCCACAGCTAAGAGGTCTGTGATTTCTCGAAAGGTTGCCATTAAGTTTTGTTAAAACTGAGACAAACGTCTATAAAGTCAAACTGAGCTTTGAAAACAAAAACAAACCAAAACAATTTGGCACCTGAGTCTGCTACGCAGCTTAACTTTCTAAATTTGTGACAAATGGTGGCGGACCCACTCCTTTGTGGCCACTTAAAGTCCCTAAAATGATGTTGTGTGGCATTAACCCTTTAAGTCCCAATAGTGTTCAAAATCAATTTTCTCCTAACGATATCCATAGACTATCATGAGCAAAGTCTATGAGAATTAACAAAATGATCACGAAGAGAAAAATATTTGATCTTTTACCAAATTCTCTCAACTAATTCTTCAAGGAAATGTATGGAGATCAGTTTGGAGAATTTGTATGTGGATATTGGGACTTAAAAAGTTAAGGCCTCTGGAGCATGACGTTCAACCCACATTTTGTCAGTTTTCTCCGATTTCTTCAACAAATAAACATGAATTCAAAACATGCCTGATTGACGGATGTTTGCCAATGTATCTTGTGTTGTCAGTTCATGCTTTTTTGTGAACTGATTAAGTCAATAACAAATTAAGCATATTTCAAGGAATACGCTCTTGTCTTTCTCCTGTGGAAATTCCAGACCTAAACCCCCCATGACTTTGGAATTCCAATCATAAGGTACAATGTATCCCCCATGCCTTTGGATTTCCAGTTCAAAGAACCCCCCTTGCCCTTGGAATTTGAAAAGCTGTGCGTGGTATANTCTATGAGAATTAACAAAATGATCACGAAGAGAAAAATATTTGATCTTTTACCAAATTCTCTCAACTAATTCTTCAAGGAAATGTATGGAGATCAGTTTGGAGAATTTGTATGTGGATATTGGGACTTAAAAAGTTAAGGCCTCTGGAGCATGACGTTCAACCCACATTTTGTCAGTTTTCTCCGATTTCTTCAACAAATAAACATGAATTCAAAACATGCCTGATTGACGGATGTTTGCCAATGTATCTTGTGTTGTCAGTTCATGCTTTTTTGTGAACTGATTAAGTCAATAACAAATTAAGCATATTTCAAGGAATACGCTCTTGTCTTTCTCCTGTGGAAATTCCAGACCTAAACCCCCCATGACTTTGGAATTCCAATCATAAGGTACAATGTATCCCCCATGCCTTTGGATTTCCAGTTCAAAGAACCCCCCTTGCCCTTGGAATTTGAAAAGCTGTGCGTGGTATAGATAATAGTATGGATATTTTCTGGAATTGCCCAATGATGTGGGGGATGTAGCAGGGATGACTGTTATGGTCAGCACACACTGGGTGACACGTCGCACTAATGCGTCATAATGGTAACATGTTGCAACAAGCTACACAAATTGAAAATGATTTGATTTTATGCAACTTATCAGGGCTACAAAATTCTTGCAAAAATTCTCCAGCACAAAAAGTGATTTGTCGCTGGGATGTGTTTATAATGCAACTTGTTACATAATATGTGCCAACCTTTGAGTGCAACAGATCCACAATGGTGATACTCAGCTTTAAGTCCCTCTCTAAACTGAAACCAATACATAAAAAAAAAACATTTGATTGTAAAATCACAGTCACAATCACTTCTGTATTCACCCCCAATCATTACTTTTAGTCTCCTATGAGAAACTATCTTACCTCAAATTTTTTTCCATGCATTTTAGCCTCCTCATGGATAAGCTTTTCCAAATGTTTCACCAGAGTATCCTTTGAGCTTCCTTTTAAATCAAGAACCGCTAGGCTGTGAAGTGAGTCCCCTTCATGTTCACGAGACATTGGCCAAGCCAAAAGATGCTGAGGAGGCATGTAAGTGTGATAAAAAGTTACATGATATGTTACGGCAGAGTTTTGCTGACTCCTTGCATTATGAAGATACTGTTGAAGATGTGCCATGCATGGATAAACTCCCCCCTGATGCAGTATTCCAAACATAATACAACCAATTATATTCCAGATAATCCAAGAAAGCATTATCAGGGGTGCAAAGGAAGATGCCGTCAAACACCATGAAAAGAGTATGACCAATGGAAGGAGAACTGGAGTGATAAACCGTGGTTCTTGGTGAGGTATCCATGACAACAATGCTATAGAAACGACAATACTGCACAGCAGCAAGCTCCAGATAAAAAGTGTTTTATAGTCATCAAGTACGCCGTTACTCTTGCTAGGGTTTCTTCTGCTTAATAAAACTTTAAGGTAGTCTGCAAACTTCCTTTTAAGCACAGTATGGGCAATCATCATGTAGAAAGCAAATGCCATAGGTCCAAACAACAATGGCAGGTTTACAGCAAAGTGCGTTATCCTTGGATGAAGACCATGATCTTTTACCCTACCTGTGTCTAGGTTGTATAAGATAAAGTTGAGTGCAGTAAGAACAATTTCTTTTTTCTGTAAGTACCCAAAGTAGAAAGAATCAACTAAGGTCAATATAGTAAGCATCAGAAAACTACCAAGACCAACTAAAGTGCACTGTTTTAAAACCTCTTTTACCGCAGTAAAGGTCTTTGCTTCAATTGACCAGTTAAAGGTGAAAATATCAATGACCCACCAAAGTAAGGGTGTAAAAGCAAAGGCCAAAAATGTTGGACGGATCCAAAATCCTACAGTCAGAAGCAACCCCATCAACAAGGTCCGCACGCGGTCCCTTCCTGATCGGAAAATGTTCCTGTTTGAAACGGAAGAAATAACCAGCAGCAGCAAGGCTGCAAATACGACAGCTTCCGCGCTGTTAGAAAATGTCCGCGTATAGAATACCAGCGTCACGAAAGACGTGCTAAACAGGCAAAGTGAAGGAGTTGGGTCCGTACTGAGATGTTGACAAATTTTATAAACTGTGTAATCGATGAAAAGAGATGCGACCGTCATAAAAAGTCTTGGAGCTACAATAAGAGTTCTTGAGGTGATATTTCCGGCAGCTACAACCATCTTTACGATGTAAAAGGGAATGCTCGTGAAGATATAGGGAAAGACTGGAGAACGCACGGGAAAATTTTCGAGCCACTCCCANCAAGTACGCCGTTACTCTTGCTAGGGTTTCTTCTGCTTAATAAAACTTTAAGGTAGTCTGCAAACTTCCTTTTAAGCACAGTATGGGCAATCATCATGTAGAAAGCAAATGCCATAGGTCCAAACAACAATGGCAGGTTTACAGCAAAGTGCGTTATCCTTGGATGAAGACCATGATCTTTTACCCTACCTGTGTCTAGGTTGTATAAGATAAAGTTGAGTGCAGTAAGAACAATTTCTTTTTTCTGTAAGTACCCAAAGTAGAAAGAATCAACTAAGGTCAATATAGTAAGCATCAGAAAACTACCAAGACCAACTAAAGTGCACTGTTTTAAAACCTCTTTTACCGCAGTAAAGGTCTTTGCTTCAATTGACCAGTTAAAGGTGAAAATATCAATGACCCACCAAAGTAAGGGTGTAAAAGCAAAGGCCAAAAATGTTGGACGGATCCAAAATCCTACAGTCAGAAGCAACCCCATCAACAAGGTCCGCACGCGGTCCCTTCCTGATCGGAAAATGTTCCTGTTTGAAACGGAAGAAATAACCAGCAGCAGCAAGGCTGCAAATACGACAGCTTCCGCGCTGTTAGAAAATGTCCGCGTATAGAATACCAGCGTCACGAAAGACGTGCTAAACAGGCAAAGTGAAGGAGTTGGGTCCGTACTGAGATGTTGACAAATTTTATAAACTGTGTAATCGATGAAAAGAGATGCGACCGTCATAAAAAGTCTTGGAGCTACAATAAGAGTTCTTGAGGTGATATTTCCGGCAGCTACAACCATCTTTACGATGTAAAAGGGAATGCTCGTGAAGATATAGGGAAAGACTGGAGAACGCACGGGAAAATTTTCGAGCCACTCCCACGTTCTCGTGTGTTTAAATCCCATAACATCTCCAGCAGTGATTTCTGTAGCTTGAAAGAACTCATCAGGGTAAATATAGCCCCTTTGTGGGATGCAAACCCAACAGAAACGGATAAAAACAGCAACAAACCATAACCATCTTCCATCCGCCATATTGTTTTTGTTTGAGCCTATAAACAAATGTAGCATTGATCAGCGGTTTAGGAATTGGATAACACGTCATGAAATCTATACCAAAGAGTCCATTTGTCAGAAAATTGAGCACCCACTTAGACCACTTAGATACGCTATCAACAGGATAATCCCTTTATTATTGCATTTGTGAAAACACAATTGGTTTCCTCAGTACTTATCCTCTGGATGGTGATTTACCAGTGCCGTCGCGCTATTCAACTGTTGAGCCAGGTCAGGCCAGGAGCCCTGCTAATTTCTTACTCTCTCAATCCTTTTCCGATACATTTTCAATAAGCTGAGAGAATTTGATAAAAAAATCAAAGCTATTTCTCTTTGGGTGATCATTTTCATAATTCCCATAACCATGTAGCTTTTCCCTTAGTGACATACGGATATTGCTTAGAGAAATTAAAACTCATGCTAGGAAAAATCTAGCTGAACTTTGCAGCAAAACCTTCAGGAGCAGTTGCCGAGGCCGGAACCATAACCCGTTTCTTCAAGTAAAGATGGTTAATGAATTAGGTCAAACACTGATAACAGCTTATTTTTTTTCCCGATCCCCCCCCCCCCGGGGGTGGGTGGGGCAAGGGTAGTTTGGGAAGAGAAGCGCAGCCGAGGCCTTCAAGATCCTGTTTGAGACAACAATCGTCCAATTCGCTACCCTGTTCAAGACAAGAGACAATTCAATTCAATTCAATTATTTATTTACACTATATAAGATATTTACATAAGTGTACATTAAGTAGGAAAATAAAGTAGCTACAAATAATAATTAACTAAAAGACCCAGTTTCATAATCCTTATTCGTTTCGTTTCGGGCGCATACCAAATTAAGTTATTAATTTTAGGAAACTAACTTAACAGAATTAGATTTTTGTCGATTGAAAAAGGTTATTACCACACACATTTAGACCAGTCATCAACAACCTTCACACCCTTTAAAAGGTTTCTGGTCCAAAAAGCATCCTATTTAAGACGCTACTTAGTGAAATTGTATACCCCATTCAAATCTAAGACCCTGAAAACAATATCATGTTCAGCGGCACATACCCGTTTAACCGTGACAAATCTTTATTCAACTACTTTTAGTAAATGGTGCCCCGGGATGGTGCCAAGAAATAAGAAAACGTCAAATCGTACAATTATCTCACACTAATACCGAACCCGTTTGGAAACTTTAATCTCGCTAAGCAGGAGCTAAAACAAGTTGCACTCCAGGCCCTCTATCAGTGAAGAAAAGACTGATTTGAAGCCAGTTTAGGGAAAATATCAAATTATTAAACGATAAAGCTATTTGGCACACTTACATTCTTCATGGCGGTGAAATATGAGGCACTGACTGCAACGGACAGATAGAGGTAGTGAACTTGGGAGGAAGTAAGATCTTGAAGTCNTTTAGGGAAAATATCAAATTATTAAACGATAAAGCTATTTGGCACACTTACATTCTTCATGGCGGTGAAATATGAGGCACTGACTGCAACGGACAGATAGAGGTAGTGAACTTGGGAGGAAGTAAGATCTTGAAGTCGCATCATCCTACTATTTTGGCGACACTATTTCTTTGTGGTCTGATTTTGTTTATATTCGTTAATAGTAAAACGTGAGGACGGTTCCTAATCGGTTGCCATCTCGACAGTCTTAAAAGGTTTTTAAGGAGGTAACGACGAACAACTCTTATCCAAAGTACTTAAAACGGAATTCACCAGGAAACTGAGTAATTTTAATTTTGACTGGACAAAAACCTTGTACCAGAATAATTAAAAGCATATTGCATTATTTTTTTACATTTTTCAAGGGCTAAAGATGTAATTAGTCTTCTGTAGTAACACCAAAGAAAATTTCTTACGGAAGTCTGAGAAAATTAATGTCGAATTTCATAAGAATTGTGAAAACAAGGGAAAATGATGTAATTTTGTGAAATTTGACATTCGTTTTCTCGGGCACTCAAAGAAATTTGCTTTAGTTTTATTACAGATGACTAATTACATCTTTAGCCCTTGAAAATGCAAATAAGAATGCAATATTCTTTAAATTATTCTGGTACAAGGTTTCTGAAAATTAAAATTAATCAATTTCCTGGTGGATTCCGTCTTTAAAAGTTGTTGCAGTTACCAGGTAGGATGGTCTTAAGGGGCGGGGAAAAATCCAACAAACGAACAGACAACAACAAACAACAAAAAGCATCAACAAGAGGCAACCACCTCTTTGCCTTATAAAGTACCCACAGCGTTTTTTAAAACTACACATTGCAGTACGGTGGAAAAACGTTAATACGGTCACCAATGGGCCAAAAGAACTTAGCCGTATTAACGGGCGACCGTATTAACGAGGAGTTTTTTGACAAGAAAATGTATGGCCGTTCTACCGGGCGGTCAAAAATAGTGGCTGTAATAACGAGGTGACCGAATTACCAAGGTGGCCGTAAGGCGGGGTTCCGTTGTTCTAAATCTTCTTTGTTTTCAACCCCTCAAGCACCAACAAAGATAAGAGAAGACAACTTCAATTTGAAAAAACTGCATTTATTAAAAAAAATTATCATTACTAGAAAAGTGTTGTATTAGAATAACTAGCTAGATTTTATCTAGAGCATAAAAAAAAGTATCAAATGAATACTAAGTCAATTTCAACAGACCCTTAACAATCGAAAAACGTTCGTTAGAACATAGCCACCATTCCAGAACAGGCGAAAAGAAAAAAAACAATAGAAATAGGCTTCAGCCTCTGGATTTCCTGAAGAGCATCTTCTACTATAGTTGCGCATGAACCGGCCACTCAAACCCCATTTACACGCGCTAAAAAAATCGGCACGGTACGCCAAATTTTTGGCACCGTGCTGACGATTTTAGGGCACGGCACTCCTAATTTTCGACGTGTAAACGTATCGGTCCCAAATGTAATGTGGCACTAGTGCTCACAATTTTAGGGGTGCCGAGACTACCTCCAAGAGGTAGTTTCGGCACGCGTAAACGAAGCACGGTGCTAAAAATTTGGAGTGCCGTGCTGATTTTTTAGCGCGTGTAAATGGGGTTTCAAATGTGCCAAGATTTTGAATTGTTTTTAACGGTCAGGGCACTTGCTACGTTTGGTGGTGGTTTGAAAGATTGTAACGAAGCAAATAAACTAGAGGCGTAGAAAAGAGGTATAAAAGAGATCTAGAAAACGAACAAAAAAAAATTAACAATAATGGTATTACTAACGAAAATAACAGAAAACTAAATAAAACGTGAAATTGCCTATTGAAACTTGGTTGATGACACTGAAAAGAGACCCTTGCTACAACAAAATACATGTTAATGCTACGCAAGTCACAGAATGGAAATCCTCGCCGAGCGAACTCACTTTCATTTCAAAAAGTTTTATAACCAAAATATATATTTCAAGAAGTCATTAAGCTATGATATATACTAAAAGGTAATGATAATAACGCTCCATTAACACTAAAGCCTAAACATGCTGAAAAGTTGTTTACTTAACAACGGTTTAAATTTGTTTCCTTCAAAAAGCTTCTTTATGATTTTTGTCAACTACAAACTTGGCACAAATGAAAGCAAAGGTGAAATTTCTTTGAACTATGAGTAAAAGCCACTCCTTTAGTTTAGACTCTTTCATTGATTTTCACTTTCTTTAACCTCGTGTGACTAAACACGTTTTCTTCGCATGAATGGTCGTTTCTCACATTAGAGCCGGATTATCCGTTGGATAATTCGTGTCATATACACAATACGTCTTAATTTGAAAATGAAACGGACTTAATTTTGGATGGACAATCCGCCTGGCTTTATCCATCTGTTTTCCGTCAATTTTGACGGATTTTGACGATGGATTATCCGTCTCAGAAGGATAATGCATCTCTAGTGTGAAAACAGCCAGTATAGCTTAAAGCACACTAAGAAATGTATTTTCTCCAAAAGCGGGCTCTAAACATACTGGATTTTTTAGCTGGGTAGAATGATACTGCAGCTTTTAGATTTCACATCATTCACAGCCTCTGAAATGGCTTAAAATAACTTTCACAGAGATAAGAAATGAAGAGGTATCACAGAACGGTTTAAGATAAACGAAAGCGCTTAAACAGGTAGCGAAAACACGGTGTGTAAGCCGGCAAAGTTCTATTAAAGTCCTGACAAGGTTATGGTGAGATCATCTATCATGCTAACTTTTGAAACTGAAGACGAAATCCTATAGTGTTACCATTCAAAAGAAATCCCTTGGACAGTCCTTTTTCGTAACACTATTAATTTAGCGGGCTTCTGCAGAACTAAAACGGAGTTTTCGGTGAATTTTTTTGGCTACTGTTAGAAGCTTGAAAGAGTTAGGTTAATGAACGCGTTAACTTCCCAATAAGAACGCTATTTATTCGTTAAGTCGACTTTTAAGAGACTTTGCGATAGTCATTTAAGGAGCTTACGTATAAACAAAGCCATGAACGGAAAACTTTGTAAATGGAGAACAATTCGCTAGAATTATTGGCGCGGTGTGTCCTAACGAAGTCTAAATCTGAATTCTCTAACCCACAGGTTGAAAAAGCACAAGAGTAGCAGAAGAGTAGTCCAGTTCCGTTTGTCTCATCAACAATAGTCCGTCCATCTGAGGATCTTTAAGGATTTCCTCGAACAGGGGGTCCGGGGATAAAGCGAATCTTCTCGTCCAAGTTGTTCAGCTTTTGGGTATTTTGATGCCGGCGAGCTGCGGTTGTCTTTATCAGCATCGGAATGCGAACATCTCCAGCTACGCAAGTTTCCGAGCTTAAGTCACATCTGCATTAAAAAGTCAGCAGTTACAAAGAGCCCGTTCATTACTGCTACAACTACGTATACTGCTACTACTGTACAATAGGAGGCAGTGTGGCCGAGTGGTCAACGCGTCGGACTCGCAATCATGCGGTCCTGGGTTCGAGTCCCCCTCTGGCCACTTGCCTGATTTGTTCTCGGTCGTCCCAACTTCATATCCTCGGCCGCGCTCGTAAAAAGCCGAATGGGTTTCCGCCAGCCAGCTGGGGTTTTTATTTCTATCGGTATGTTCTATGCGTATTATTAGCGTCCAGTTTGAATGGGGTGCCTGTAAACTAGCAGGATAAGCTAAGTGAATTTGCCACTAGAAACAAATCTTTATTAATTAACCTTTTTTTTCTACTTCTGCTGCTTCTGTTAGGTGAGAGCTAACTACAAAGCAGCTCAGTTCAAAAAATATCAAAAACTTCATTGTTTTAGCCGCTCTGCCGTCTTAGAAAAAAGAGAGATTAAGACAGTAAAGACGTTTTTGGGCGACGCACTTCAGCCTGAAATGAGGCCTGTTCCATTTTAATATGCCTTAGTGCTACCAAATAGGTATTAAAGGGGCTGTGTCACGACAGTCCAGTTCATTTTGTTTAATTTTGCCAATTGCTCGCCCTCAATTTCTAAGGAACTTAAAGCAAGCAAAGAAATTACATGTAAATGACAAAATCAGAGATCCTAGACAAACAAATATGTCTCCTGAGCCTTATTTTTAAAGTTGCAAGCAGCAGGGATCAACTTTGAAAAACTGTTAGGCTGAACAATTTTCAAAAATCCTACTTCAATCCGTTTTAGTCTTCTTCCGTTTTGCCCATCCGTGGCATCTGTTGTTTCTGTTATGTTAATTTAACCTTCCTTTAAAGTTTTAAGCGGTTATTTTTGCGTTTCTCTTAATTTAACGAGGCATTTTGTAATTTCATAATTTGGCTGAATTTCGTGACACAGCTCCTTTAATTAGAAACTTTACTTTTATACGGCGTATTTGACCAAACATGTGGGCAAAACCACTGGCTGATAATTCAAAATGTCCACTTCCGGTTGACTTTAGTCGCTCTCTCGTCTTTGCTTATGCTAGTGCACTCCGAAAGCGATCCAAGAATCCATTCCGCTTCTCTAATATATAGATTTAGCCAGGGCTAAGAGCAAAGCTCTCGCAAAGCTCTCGTTAATACTTATAGTTTACTCAAACAAAAATATAAAATCGTGTAATGTAAAGCGGCGACGGCAACGAAAACGGTTAAAATATCGATAGGTGCATGTAATTAGCAAAAAATAACTTTGCCCTTGCAGCACACTTTTTTGTATATTTCTTTGCCTTTGTTTTGCACGACTACATCATGAAACTTCCAGAAACTTCCTCGTTACACGTTTTATGGAGGAGATATCGCATGTGTTCCTGTTCGCTTTTCTTTTTTTTTTGTCACTGCCGCTCACTTTCACCTTGGTGGCCGCTAGCATTTCTCGTTTTCTCACCACCGCTATAAAATTTACAAGTTTTTTTCTCCAACGAAATTGGTCGCCTTCGTTCTTTATCTCTCGCTTTATCTTTCTCTGTTGTCCACGTCAATGTAGACGCTATAATTTAGTCGAAAGAGAAGCGCAGCTTTGATGTTGTTGTAGTTTTTGTCTCTCAAAGTCCGGGTGGCTTCGCGATTTACCGCCGAAACGCGCGGGTACTTGAAATGCGAAATTTCATCCCCGCCTTACATGAATGGGTGGACGTACGTACGTACGCACGATTTTCTCAGAGCCAAAATTTCTTGGATGCATAGATGGCCAAATTTTTTTACCCCTTGGTGCTCCGCTGCGCGTGCTTCGCTATCACGACAAAAATATACAGTTCTTTGAATCAAAGCAACAAATGCGTTACCCGTGAGTCATCAAAATTACCAATGATAGAGCAGCAAATTGAACACGGGACGTGGCGTTCCGCATTAATTTCCGCGCGCTTTCGCGATCTCATTTCACATTGCGTTGTCTTCGATAAATTGCCCACTTGTGCAAAAAGCCACCTCTCATACTCTCCCTTGAAAGTGTAGGGGCCAAGGTAAAATAAATTAACATTCAATAGTATGATCACCTGTATCCTTCAGGGCAGCAATGTTCCTCGTCACTACAGCAAACAGCTTTTGGAAGCGGACAGCAGCCATAGTGGCCTGTGTCCATCATACAACAAGTCTCATAATCCAGACATTGTGAGCCATCCGGACAGTCCACGTAAGTTTCTGTTAGGACAGAAAAATAACAAACAAACAAAAATGATAAATAGACATTGGTTAACAAGGCAAAAACTTGAGGGTTGGCGCAAATGATTCCCACGTAAACCACAAGTGTGCGGAACGATCATGACCGAAAAATTGCTCAAGAAGAAAAAAAAACTGCTGTGACTGAAGCCTTCAGAACATGACCAATGTGACTGGTAATCGATCAAATGCGCAAAGCCGAAACATAACTGCTCAATAAATATTTCGTGTTTATCCTGTACCCTAATCGGCAATATATTCTTAAAGACATCCCCCAAACCGTCCCCTGCTATTGTAACTCTAATTGGGAAGGGAGAATAGGGTTGAGGCGATCGTGTGAAAATCAGCCTTGACATGAAGTTACCTGTGCTGGCTCTGGTAAATGGAATAATTTCTGACAAGCTGACTTGGTCACCATATCTGTCGCACGTACCTTCAACACAAGAAACAAAACATGCATAAAGATTTAGGCATTTCTGAATGTAGCACGAGATTTGCAACTGTGAAGTATGACCAACTGAACGCATCTAGTTTTTTTGCATGTGGGCATCAATTGTAGGAAGCGATAGAAACCTTTAAATGCAGTCTAAACAACATTCGTAAGAGACGTCATTGAAACAAAATGCAAGTTTTTTTTATGTCACCTTTGCGCAACCGATTGGAACGAATGAAGCGACGATCAGTGTTTTGACCATCTCCACTCTGAGTGAGTTTTGCTTGGAGGAAAATATAATCCTCCTTCCCCTGAGGAATATTGCTTATTACTTCAAAATCACTTAAGTTTAAAATTTGCCACCTCAGTGATCATCGGAATTTTGCATGTGTGAAGACGCACATGTAGTCATTGTAGTCATTTTGAAATTGACAAAATATGGCCATTTCAACTCCAGAAAACAAAACCTACTGTTTTCGAATTTGATTCCTTTTTCTTGATACGAGAAACGTTTTGCCGAGGTAATCTATACACACTGCGTTTCGTTAGCAAATGAATTTACTCAGAATACATTCAAATCCACAAGGCCCTTTTCAACGTTTAAATATAAGGTCAGATACGAAAAGAAAACTGATCTACTGATCTATCTAAACGTAATCCATATCGTTCTATCAACCCGTGATTTGAGAAAGACGAAAACGAACAACAAACACAACCTAAATATGGCCTCGTCACTGGGATCAGAACAGGAAAGAAATTCACCGCAAGAGAGCTTTTTTCAGAACTGTAGCACTCATGCGCTACAAACAGCTATTTTTGGATCACCGCAAAAAACGCGACACGCCAGTCGAAGTGGTTGGACTGTAATGAAAACGTGGTCATGTTGACATGTCAATCACAGAACTTCCTCACTCCTAGATCAAGTTATGGCGTGAGGATCTCTCGGTATACCTATAAGATCTGTGGATGAAATCTTATTCCGTTACCAATCAAATGAAACCACCTCAGCAGTACATTCACATAGTACTCAGGGCTGTCCATAAGGGCCGGTAGCCGGCCAAAACCGCCTGCTAGTTAGCCATCCTTAGCCGGCTACTTTCAACTCCTTCTCCAATAATTGCTAACAAAAAAAAAACAACCATCGAATAATATTGTAAAGCATCCGCGTTCCAGTTTTGAATGACACTGAACGTCCATTTAAACAGGTTTAGATCTGTGAAGCGTTCAAACCGTGCGATGCAGTGTAATGCCTGCGACATTTCAATGGCATTGTTCCCAGTCTTGCGTGTATTCTGACGAAAGAGCATAGCATCCGCGGTGAAAAATACCTCTTGAAAACCCCTGGAAATGCCATTTCTGAGACTCTAAATTTCAAAATGTCCCTAGATGCCGCCCCCAAAGAACTTGTGCCTTTGGTGCGAGTCCCAAAGCCGCCTACTATTCATTATCAACCTGCTACTTGTTTTGACAACCCTGAGTACTGTATATTTAGTATCTAATTACCAACGTGCGAGTCTGTGCATGAAATCTAATGGTGTGATCATTTACACAGGAAAAATAAGAGAATTCCCAATATCTTGAAATTGGGGTTATTTTGGTTCTAACTTGGGCCTAACTTGGGTCTAGTATGGAATTAAACTTGGGAACTGTTTATTTCCCAAAGTAATACCTCAAGTTGGGAAATGGGAACAACTCCCAAGTTATTCCCAACCTGTGCTGAAATAGGGAATTGTTAAATCAACAATATAGACCCATATTTGACCCAAATATAGGGTCTAATTTGGGATATATTTACCCCAAGTTAAACCACATTTAGTCCCATAGTAGAGTTTATTTGAACCCAGGTTTGTCCCAAAGTCATATCCAAGTGGTCCCAAATAGGGTCAGAATTGGGAAAAATAACAAGGACCTTTTAGCCTCATATGGTCCCACAATTGGGTCAAACTGATCCCATCTTTTATTCCTTGTTCCAAGCGCTGTTCAAGTTCTTCCTAAAGGACAGGGTTAAACAGCAATAATTTATTTAGTTGTCACATCTAACTAAATCACCAAACTGATTTTGATATGAAAATGTCATTCTTTTATTTACATAAACTGGAAACACTTACAATGCGTAATGTGGTATTTTTAACAGTGTAAATTTACATACAATTCCATTTTCGTTACATCAATCATTCACAAAAACTGTACAATGTTCCTGAATTACTTGCCAATAAAATCCACTTGCAAAGTCCTTGATCCCCGAAAACAAATTCCTCACAAGAAGCCTTAAGGTGTTCACACAAAGTTCCCACGCACAGTCCTGCGTTGTTCCTTAAATAGATTCCATCCAGCGGGCCTTTGATGACAAAACTTGAAACAAAATCCGCAATAAAAGTTCCTGATTCGTACTTAACAGAATCCAGTAATCTTGTGTAAGTCAAATCCAAAAGTCAAATCCCGTGAATAAAGGCAATCCGTAAAAAATCCATTCCGTGACAATCGCCGTAATGGAATTAGTAGTCCGCACGTAAACATGTTTTTCAAAATCCAAAATCCAAAAGTTTCCAGAAAATCGCTTCAAAAATGTTCACAATTCATTGCTTCAAGTTCTCAAAACTCTCAAAAGGCAAGGGGAAAAATAGCAAGTACATCTGCTGTAAAAAAAACCCTCAAGACAAAAATTCAAAATGGCAAAAACGTTTTGGCTGAACACTGCGTACTATGAAAAAATTCAAAGGTGTTCGATTGCAGAGGATCGAAATACACCAATCAGAGAAAGGCATTTTAATTGCCTGTTTCCCGAGAGGTCAGCTTATGCTGAATTACTGCTTTGTGATTGGCCCATTAATTTTATTATTCTTAGATATACTTTTAACTGAACCTTTTTCAAAATTTGTTGATAATTTTACAACCTCTGTGTTTCAAATGCCTAAAAGTATAAAATCGTTGCCCAGTTGTTATTTTAAAATCAAATTTCATTTTTCAACGGGTTCTCCCCAGGACTTTTTCAGTAAGAAGTAGCTTTGAACATAGCTGTGTTCAAGCTTAGGTTTGCAAAATTTTTAGGTACAAATTTTTCTGTTGCAAGACTAGAGAAGAAAATTAAGCGACTTATTTACAGTGTAAGACAAAAAATGTTTTTGATATAAGAAGATTACAAAACTCCAGCCCTTGTAACAAAAATAAAAAGAAGAAATGCTGTCTTAAAACAAGATCCTTTTACTTAATTCAAGCTTTGTCTTAAAACCATTTTCGGCCTCTTAAAAACGTTTGTAAATCAATATTTTTCCTTCTTAAAACAAGGATGTTGTTCTTTGATTGAAGTGACTAGTTCTTAATTTAAACGGACCTACTTTTAGAGTAAGTAAGAAGAGTTTATCCCACTCAACATGAATTTTTGTTATTTTTGTGCATCTTCTTTTTCTGTCTTCCTTTTCTTTAACACAAATTACAAAAATTACCGCACACCACAAAACAGTTAATGCTGAGGTGAGCATGTCCCAATTTCACCCACAAAAAATGTGTTTGCATGAAATAGTCCCAAAGTAGGTGTGACTTAATTTTTATGAACCCAAGTTATCCCCACTGCTATCAGCTGAAGTAGCAAATTTTGGGACTACTTTGGGAAACATACATTGGTAATTACAAGAAATGAAATTTACTCTCAAAATATACCCAACTTTGGCCCAAGAATAACCGATTACACCCCAAAACAGTTAATGTTGGGGTGAGCATGTCCCAATTTTGACCCATAAAAAATGTGTTTGCTTGAAATAGCCCCAAAGAAGGTGCAAATTAATTTATGTAAACCCAAGTTATCCCCAATGTAATAAGCTGAAGAAGCTAATTTTGGGTCTTATTTGGGAAACATATATTGGGAATTACAAGTGGAGCATTTAACTCTTAAAGTAAAACCCAACTTTGCCCCAAGAATAACCCAACTTTAAAAGTTGGGAATTATTATTTCCCAAGTTAGAACCAAGTTTGACCCAAGTTGGGATTTGTCCAATGTTTCCTGTGTTAAGTGAAATCTCTTAAACAGTACTTTCATATGGTTATACAGTCTACTCTCTCATAGTGAACACTTCTCGAAAGCGCTCACCTCCCGCAAGTTTCAAGGTGTCAAGCGCTATTCGATGTATAAGATTACTGCCAGTTGGCTAAATTTTAGCTTTTTAAGTAACAACTTATGTTTATCGGGTCAGTTTGAGCTTGTTATGTTGATTTTTCCCGTCGAAAACCACCTCCCGTGAGCGACCACTTTGTCCTGCTCCCAGGGTGGTCTCTAACGAGAGAGTTCAGTGACTGTATTTATTTAGTATGTAGTTCTAACTTTTGTGTATGTGGATGAAATTCTGTAGTGTGACCACCTCACCACCTCGACTGACTTCTCTTCGCCGCTTCGAAGACCGTCGCATTGAAACCAATAATGAACTCATAACTTATTACCCTGGGTGCCAGAGACTTTTCACGCGCGGCTTCTGTTTCTCGCGGCTTCGAGCCGCGAAGGCCGACCCTGAGAGAACTCCGCCGCACTCGATCGCCGTACACGTGTAAAACTTGCTGGTACCCAAGGTTATCATTCACAAAAACAAATTAACATTTTATTATTCCTAGGAACGCTTAATTCACCTTTCTCCACATCACACGTGTATCCTCCAGGACAGCAATGTTTATCGTCACTACAGCAAACGGCGTGCGAAACTGGACAACAGCCATACAATCCAGAATGCAGCTTGCAACATGTGCTTCCATTGGCACATTCGTGCTTTTTGTCGGGACAAAGTACGGAGCCTGAAGACTCGGAAACTGGTCGAGCTGGTGATTTCACCAAGGTAATCATTTTTTGCACAAGCCCACTGCTACTCTCCTGACACGTACCATTAGAGGTACATGTAGATCCCATAGGGCAGCAGTGCACCTTGTCGCTACAACATACGGCTTGGTCTAAATGACAACAGGAATAGCCCCCAGAAATATCCCTACAGCAAGTGTAGCCGTTAGGACACTCAGTCTCACCATCATTACAAAACACAGTTTTCACGTCATAACTGACTCTCTTTGAAGGTTGAACTACTAGGTGGCCAGTGACATCTTTGTCTCCTTTGGTGCAAGTTCCTAATGCAACATCACAGGTGTACCCGTTTGGACAGCAATGCTCACCATCGCTACAGCATACAGCTTTTGGTAAAGGACAACAACCCCACTGGCCTGAAGATAGTTTACAACATGTGTTGTCATCTGGGCACTGTGATTCACCATCAGGGCACATAACAGTATCCACTACTGTTATTTTCTTAATTGCTGGAATCTTCGTTAACATTCCTATTCTCGTCTTGCTTCCTTTATTACAAGTTCCAGCTTCAACATCACAGGTATATCCGTTTGGGCAGCAATGCTCTCCATCACTACAGCAAACAGCTTTTGGTAGAGGACAACAACCCCACTGGCCCGAGAATAGTTTGCAACATGTGTTGCCATTTGGACACTCTGATTGACCATCAGGACAAACGACACTTTTTGCTTTAACTATTTTCTTTAAAGCTTGGATATTCTTTGACACTGGTATTGTAGTCTTGTCTCCCTTGGTACAACTCCCAGCTTCAACATCACAGGTATATCCGTTTGGGCAGCAATGCACTCCATCACTACAGCATACAGCTTTTGGAAGAGGACAACAACCCCACTGGCCTGAAGACAATTTGCAACAGGTCATGCCATCTGGGCATTGTGATTGACCATCAGGACAAACAGTATTTACTTTGATTATTCTCTTAAATGCTGGGATCTTTTTTGACATTTGTATTACAGTCTTGTCTCCTTTGGAACACGTTCCTTCTGCAACATCACAGGTGTACCCGTCTGGACAGCAATGCACTCCATCGCTACAACAAACAGCTTCTGGAAGAGGGCAACAACCCCATTGGCCTGAAGATAGTTTGCAACATGTGTTGCCATCTGGACACTCTGATGTACCATCAGGACAAACGACATTTTTTGCTTTAACTATTTTCTTTAAAGCTTGGATATTCTTTGACACTGGTATTTTAGTCTTGTCTCCTTTGGTACACGTTCCTTCTGCAACATCACAGGTATATCCGTTTGGGCAGCAATGCACTCCATCACTACAGCAAACAGCTTCTGGAAGAGGGCAACAACCCCACTGGCCTGAAGATAGTTTGCAACATGTGTTGCCATCTGGGCACTGTGATCCATCAGGACAAACGACGGTATTCGCTTTGATTATTCTCTTAAGTGCTTGGATATTCTTTGACACTGGTATTGTAGTCTTGTCTCCCTTGGTACAACTCCCAGCTTCAACATCACAGGTATATCCGTTTGGGCAGCAATGCACTCCATCACTACAGCATACAGCTTTTGGAAGAGGACAACAACCCCACTGGCCTGAAGACAATTTGCAACAGGTCATGCCATCTGGGCATTGTGATTGACCATCAGGACAAACAGTATTTACTTTGATTATTCTCTTAAATGCTGGGATCTTTTTTGACATTTGTATTACAGTCTTGTCTCCTTTGGAACACGTTCCTTCTGCAACATCACAGGTGTACCCGTCTGGACAGCAATGCACTCCATCGCTACAACAAACAGCTTCTGGAAGAGGGCAACAACCCCATTGGCCTGAAGATAGTTTGCAACATGTGTTGCCATCTGGACACTCTGATGTACCATCAGGACAAACGACATTTTTTGCTTTAACTATTTTCTTTAAAGCTTGGATATTCTTTGACACTGGTATTTTAGTCTTGTCTCCTTTGGTACACGTTCCTTCTGCAACATCACAGGTATATCCGTTTGGGCAGCAATGCACTCCATCACTACAGCAAACAGCTTCTGGAAGAGGGCAACAACCCCACTGGCCTGAAGATAGTTTGCAACATGTGTTGCCATCTGGGCACTGTGATCCATCAGGACAAACGACGGTATTCGCTTTGATTATTCTCTTAAGTGCTTGGATATTCTTTGACACTGGTATTGTAGTCTTGTCTCCCTTGGTACAACTCCCAGCTTCAACATCACAGGTATATCCCTTTGGGCAGCAATGCACTCCATCACTACAGCATACAGCTTTTGGAAGAGGACAACAACCCCACTGGCCTGAAGACAATTTGCAACAGGTCATGCCATCTGGGCATTGTGATTGACCATCAGGACAAACAGTATTTACTTTGATTATTCTCTTAAATGCTGGGATCTTTTTTGACATTTGTATTACAGTCTTGTCTCCTTTGGAACACGTTCCTTCTGCAACATCACAGGTGTACCCGTCTGGACAGCAATGCACTCCATCGCTACAACAAACAGCTTCTGGAAGAGGGCAACAACCCCATTGGCCTGAAGATAGTTTGCAACATGTGTTGCCATCTGGACACTCTGATGTACCATCAGGACAAACGACATTTTTTGCTTTAACTATTTTCTTTAAAGCTTGGATATTCTTTGACACTGGTATTTTAGTCTTGTCCCCTTTGGTACACGTTCCTTCTGCAACATCACAGGTATATCCGTTTGGGCAGCAATGCACTCCATCACTACAGCAAACAGCTTCTGGAAGAGGGCAACAACCCCACTGGCCTGAAGACAGTTTGCAACATGTGTTGCCATCCGGGCAATGTGATCCATCGGGACAAACGACACCATTCGATTTTATTATTCTCTTTAATGCTTGGACCTTTATTGAAACTGGTATAAAAGTTGTGTCTCCTTTGGTGCACGTTCCTTCTTCAACATCACAGGTATATCCGTTTGGACAGCAATGCACTCCATCACTACAGCAAACAGCTTGGGGAAATGGACAACAACCCCACTGACCTGAAGACAGTTTGCAGCATGAGGTGTTATCTGGACACTCTGATTGACCATCAGGACAAACGACATTATTCGCTTGGTGCCTAAAGGTACGAGACTGAAGCTCCTCAGAAAATGTCCTTGTAATCAATTGCAGGAGTCCTTTCACGCCTTTTATAGACGTTGTGGCCAGTGTTGTGGAGAGTGCCAGAATGCTGTGAGCCCCCGATGAACAACCCTTCCCGTCGGGGGAGCATGTATATCCTCGAGGGCAGCAATGTTTGTGATCAGCGCAACACACTGCTTCTTCTAATGGACAACACAGGTACCCTTGGTCTGCCTTACAGCAGGTGTTCCTAGCAAGTGAAAACAATTCAGTCAGTTTGTAAACAGCTTAATGGAAGTTATAGAAGGCAAAAGTGTAAAAACTGTAACCAAGTGTAATAAAGGTCCCATCTGTAATATAATTTGGACCCAAGCGTAACAAGGTCCCATTGGAAATAACGTTTCGAGGCCAAGCATAATAAAGCTTCTATCGGTAATAACATTTAGACCCAAGTGTAACAAAAGCGGTAATGTAGCTTTTATACCCAAAACGGTAACATGCCAACAACAAATTATGACTAACGAGACTCGTCATAAGGCGAAGTCACTGGGCTGCTTCTGCTAACAGTAGACAAATATTGTATTGTATGAAAACGAGAAGTTTACTAAAACAGACAGCCAACTGCCCATTGACCCCGATCCATAAGCCTCATGGATTACACTGACACGATCCTAATTTGCGGTCTACAGTTTACATGAAAACCGTTTTCATGCTAAACGCATTATTTTTTCCTCGAGATAAAATATATTCAGTTTTAAGGTTTTTCTCTTGGTATTTTTCTCTAACTTGAAAATAATAATAATAAAATCTTTTGCATTTGTGACCTATGTTGCTTTCAACGGCACACACTTTAAGCAATGTAAAAATAGATGAAACGATCGATAACATATTTTTTACCTTGATAATAATTAAATTAATTCAAGTTAAAAATTCGCTCGAGTTTGCCTTTTGTCTCACCGTGACTTTAAACTTTTCTTCATGGCAGAAAATCATGCCGCTTTCTAACTCCTCCGAAGTTTTTGGCCAGCTAAACAATATGGAAACACTATTTACAGTCCTTGGATAATAAAAAGACTGAAAGAAATGCACTATGTAACCTTGTTTACTTCTGATCACATGTGCACGAACTCTCTCTTTTCAAGCGATTCATCTCAATGCACAATAAAAAAGAGGTTTAAAGGCTTGTTTTTAGTGGAAAGTGCACTTAGCCTATTTAGCTAGTTCACAGGCACTCCACTCAGATACTTAGAAACAAATAATTCAAATACAACATAACAGGATTAAAAACCCCAACTGGCAGGAGGCAACCAGTTGGTTATTTATAAGCGTGGTCAAACATTTGAACTCAGGAAACCGAGAAAAAATCCAGCACGTGGCCGGAGCGGGAGTCGAACCCAGGACCGCCGGATTGCGAGTCCGATGCGCTGACCTCTCGGCCACGATACCTCCTTAGCTCCATGACCTTTACATTAATGAAAACCTATGGTTCATTGCTGCCGGAGATCAGCCGGCAGCAGACCATATTCTTGGGCGATTTGAGATTTTTGGTTAAATGGTTCGATGTTCAGTCAATCTGTGACTGCAGCGCTGTGCAGTCAGCGGTTTGTTTAAGCAAGTGCGTAGCTGCCGCGCATGTTTTTCTCTTAGGAATAACCCGCCATTTTGTTTTGTTCTCGGTATGTAAATAAGATGAGGACGCCAAAAATCGTAGTCCATCGGATATTTGCTGCCTTTTTAACGTTCTCAACGGTAAGAACAGTTCAAGAAGCATTGTACGGAACATTTTTTTTGCCAGCTTTATTTTTTTTATTCTAGGTTTCAAGATTAGTTATAGCGAGTACACTATCCTTTTGTCACACAGACTGTTATCTCGGGAATCAGGATTGTAAGTTAAATAAGTGAACGGCATCTGCTGTACGTCTACCTGACCCGTGAATAAACAAGTTTTGGCCTTTACGTTATTTGTTCTCAACTCTTCTCGTCATGTGTCCGATGATTGTCCGATGACGAAACAGCCTATCAGCACTGCTGTTGTTTTAGAATTTAGTGAATTATTAAAATGAATTACAAAATCATATTGAAACGAGTTATCTGAATGTGAGCATATTTGTTATTGTGATCGGTTCGTTTTTTATATTTCGCTCTGAGTGTTTCATAATTCCAAGAAGTCTAAGTTAAAAATTCATATGTTCAACTGTTCTACATACTGCCTTTGTCCTATTCGCATCGCAACTAACGGCATCATTTCCCTTCTCAATGAGAACTTCTAGTTCATATTAATACTGTTTTGCCCCTCACATTTACTGTGTTCGTTCGAATTCAAAACACCTTTAGGAACATTAAGGTCGTGTAAGTCATGTGTATTATGTTTAGAGATAAATCGATTATAGGCTTTTTTAAATTCCCATTTTGCGGTGGCTTTATCAGTCCACATCTCCATAAAATGGTATCAAGAACATTACGCGGGCTGAAAATTTTTCAAGGTTTTTTTGAAACTCGCTAACGCTGACATCTATATATCGCGCTTGCTGAATGGGCGAAAACACAGAATTTAGGAGAAGCATAACAAATGATAACAAGACCACGTACAAATTTAATGCTAAAAGCTTAGCAAGATACAGATACAAACAAAACCAAAACCCCTCAAACCTTTGACTAGACTTGTATGATCTAGTTAGTCATCAAACCTTGTCAGTAATAGCTCCTATTTTCCTCAAGATGGTCTTTGTGAAGCTCCCGGATCGGATGTCTCGGTGAAGCTTTGAACTTGTGCGCGAAATTCTCAAAGCTCCTATTTTTGACCATGTGTCTTCTTTATACTCAGTATCCGAAATTAAGATCTCCAATCTGGCGTGTGTTGCATTAAATAGAAGGAAATATTAAAATAAAAAGCCAGTCTTCTGACATAGCAAAGTCGCCTCGTCCCCACGCTCATGGACGTCCATTTGTTAATATCACGATTTATCTTACATTCATCGGCAACGGAATTGCTCGCTTCATTACAACAGCTTACAATCAAGTCTTTAGCTATTGTGTCAGCAACTGGTAAAATACGTTGCTCATAAAATGTGCTTATTAATTGCTCATGTACTAGTGCATAGATCGATAGTTCTCTCTTTGAGTTCACGAAACGGCCCCCTCCGTTCTAAAACTGACGCTCACAGTCATCTTTTAGTGCGAGCCTACAGTGAACGGCGTGCGGGTTTGTATGGAACGTTAGCATTTCTCTGAGTTTCCCAGCGCGAACATCATCAACTGACTTAAACTCGAACAATGACAAAACTTGTAAAGTGACTCCTATGATCGAATCGCTTCGAACAACGCAAATAGCCTTCTTGATTCGCAACGCCTTCTTTGTTTCTGGGAGAGCGGAGGAGAGGTACCAAAAATATTCGTGCAAGGGTACGTGCGAGGGAAAATCGTATGAAACCACTTATGAAAACATCGTTCTCGGTACCAGACCCTTGTGTCTTCCCTCCTCTGGTAGACCGTTTTTCTGCACAGACGACTGAAAACGGAATTTATAACTGAGCGGCCCTGAAAGGGGCAGCCCAGTAATAAGAAATAAACACAAACACACATAGTAGTGTAGCTGGAAAGGTATTAGCTTAACGGCACAGACTGTTGCCACTTAGAAATGTCAACTAAAGAAAATTTGTTCTTGGGTACTGCTTTACTGTGCTGTTACGAGAGTGATTTTTGTTGTTTCAATGTTAAACTTCAAATTTTCGATTCCAATTTCGGGAAATTCTCAATTGTTTGTATTTGTAGTTAACAAAGGCACGTGTTCTCTACAAAGTGCATCGATCCGTTGCAATGGTGCACTAGCGGTGCAAAAGTAAAAGTAAACGAAAGCTTAAAACATGTTCAAACCAACAATGCACACGCAAACGCAGTGAGATACGCATGTTTATAACTGAAAAAGCTAAAACACAATATCTCAATGAGAAGAAAGACGAAGAAAAAAAAACATGGTGTTATATTTAGGTCCGTAAAAAATATAGTCTCTTGTCTTAAACAAGGTGCATTCACTTAACTGAATATATTTTGCCTCAAACAGGGTCAGAGTTTGAAGAGCTTGGTGGCACGCCCCGATTAATACTTCCCTTCGGTACATCCCCGGAAATCTTTTAGTTCCCGCCCAAATATGATTCTCCGGTCTTCCCCTACAGTTTGAAGCAGTTATCGTGATACAAATGATCCTGTCCTTGTCCTACAATGGATGTCAAAAGTCTTGGGACTCCAAAAGATAATAGTAAGACAGGTTATTTCCACCTCTTACCCAAGCAATGTTGAATTTCAAGCACGACAGGATAGCTACAGAGAGCTGGGGGGATGAAAGGATCAATTGGAACTGATCAAAAGTTAAGTCAATTTACAAGTTGAAAGTCAATTGTTATGAAAGTGAACATGGTCCTCGCAGTTGAATGAAAAACCTAGGTGGTTGAAAACGAAAAAAAAAAGAGAAGAAAAAATTCAGGCTTGAGCAGGAATTGAACCCTGGCCGTAACGCTCTATCCAGTAAGCTACTCGAGCCTATTGGAGACCAGGCCATTGTGAGTTCATAACAGTGGAAATGACATATGAATTGAAATATGAAATTAATCATACTTTTGAACTAAGGAATCCATAAAGATATGATATACACATGTCAAAGTTCGTATCTTTATCCACAGTTCAAAAATTCATGTGTAAAGTCAATTATTGTCGCACGTCATTAGCAATACTGGTTGATGTTATTGTAATAACAATAACAATGTATACTACTGGGCTAACCAGTAATTGTGAAAGCCATTTAAGTCTTATTTATTTATTTATTTATTTATTTGCAACAATCATATTTTTATTTTTTAAACTGTCTTTGAGCATGCATTGTTGGCCCTTAAACTGAACTCCGTATCCACATTTACACTGTACTAGTAATTTACCTGTCTGGGCAAGCAAACTTTTTGTCACATTTGACAACTTTGGCTGAGAATTTGTTTAATACCACCGCAGGAAATTCTGGCTTTGCTTCTTGGCAAACACCCTGATCACAAGAATATCCAGAAGGACAACAGTGGAAATGACTACTGCCGAGTATGGGACAACAGGAGTGGTCCACGAGGCATTGATGTTCACCACCAGGACAAACACTCACACTTGATAGGACAACCTCATTCTGAAATAAAATGAAATGACACAAAAAATAGGTTAAGAGGATATAACAAGGCTGCGTGGAGATAGGAAATTTCATTTTGAGTGTTCAAAAT